GTATTTATCTCACTGAACATCATTTAAGGAACAATTCTCCCACTGAACACCAATAAGAATAATGGGGATTTCTCCAACTGAACACTGAAAGTAAATGAGGAGCAATTCTCACAATTAACTTCATTGACTAAGGGGCCTGACTCGCACTGAACACCAATTAATCAACTAGCAATCATAAACATAATTTGCTGTAATGTCACAATACAATTTCACTTATTGCACAGCAAAATAGCTTCAATAATTGTCATTTTTACAGCTTGCAATCTGTTCATGAGGGCTTGTCCGATTGCCATCTAGTAAGAAGCAGCACAATTACATATTGTAGCAATAGCTACATGTTAGCAGAGCTAACCAATCTTTCCTCTCTGTCATCTCATCCTAATCCATCAGGTTTGCTTTCTTACAGGGTTTCTAATCATCACTACATCAGCGGTGTCTTGTTGTCTCTTTCAGCATGTTGGCGGTATCTAGACAACTTTTAGCATTTTGGTGGACTTATCTAGTCTCTTGTAACACATCAGTGGACTCTAGTCACTTCCAACACCTTGGTTAATTCTAAGATTCCTTTGCTTGGTGTCGGTGGTCTTATGTAAAAACATGGTAAAAGAGGTATAACTTTACCTATTATGCTTTAGCCTCACCCATTAAGCCATACCACTCTCAGTTGTATTACTGTTCATTGTTTAAGTGTTTATCAATAAAGTAAATACTTGAAAGTTTGATCAAGGATATCAGTGCCATAGCCTCTACTGAACCACAATGGCTGACTATTGATATGGTCCAGAAACAGACAAAATGAAGGTGAACAAAGCACCTGGACCGGATGGCTCACACCCACGTGTCCTCAAAGAATTGAGCTGTGTAATTTCAAATCCATTGTATATAATTTTTAGAGACTCTCTGATGCAGGGGTAACAAACTTCTGGCCCTCCAGCTGTTGTGAAACGACAAATCCCATGATGCATCTCTCTTTGGCTGTGCGAATCTTGCAATGCCTCATGGGATTTGTAGTATCACCACAGCTGGAGGACCGGAAGCAACCCCTGCTCTAATAACTGGCTTGGTAATGATGGATTGGCACAAGGCCAATGTGGTGCCTATATTTAAAAAGGGATCAAAGTCTTTATTAAGTAATTACAGACCTGTACGTTTACCTTCAATAGATGACAAGATACTTGAAAGTTTGATCAAGGATCACAAGCAATTGTTTTTGCTTGAAAATAATATCATAAGCGATAGTCAGCACAGGTTCACAAAAGACAGAAGTTGTCAAACAATTTTACAACAGCTAATTCGCGCTAAATGGATACCAATAAGCTAAGTGTCAAAATTAACTATATCAAGTCTGCTGGTGTGCCAACTATGTAGTGTGAAATTCTTAAAACAATGCACTGCGCTGAACCTCTCTTAGCAATATATCAAACAAAAAGTGTGTCTAAATACTGAAAACCAATATAATCAACCTCCAATAAATAATTTAAATTCAGTTCACAGTGTAAGTCTCTTATGAGACTTGATTTATTGGACACTTATCAAGTCTCATAAGAGACTTACACTGTGAACTTTATCACCTTGGATTTAAATTATTTATTGGAGGTTAATTATATTTGTTTTCAAGTATTTAGACACACTTTTAGTTTGATATATTGCTAAGAGAGGTTCAGCGCGGTACATTGTTTTAAGAAGTTGTCAAACAAACCTACTTTCTTTTTATGAGGAAGTGAGTAATAAATTGGACAGAGGAATGACTGTGGATATGGTATACCTGGACTTTGCAAAAGCGTTTGACACAGTTCCCCAAATGCTGGTAATGTATAAGTTAAGGTCAGTAGGTATAGAGTATTTAATCTGTAAGTGGATAGAAAACTGGCTTAAAGACCGTATTCAGAGAGTGGTGATCAATGATTTATACTCTGAATGGTCTGAGGTTGTTAGCAGTGTCCCGCACGGTTCAGTGTTGGGCCCCTTACTGTTTAATCTATTTATAAATGACAAAGAATTTGAGATTAAAAGTACTATTTCTGTGTTTGCAGATGATACCAAGTTATGTAGTGGAATACAGTCCGTACAGGATGTCTCTAACTTACAAGCAGATCTGAATGCACTGTATGATTGGGCATCTATTTGACAAATGAGGTTTAATGTTAATAAATGTAAAGTTATGCACTTGGGGACTAAAAACATGCATGCATCATACACTCTAGGGGGAGTCAATGATGGAGAAAGATCTGGGTGTACTGGTAGATCATAGACTCAATAATAGCATGCAATGTCAAGCCGCGGTTTCTAAAGCAAGCAAAATACTTTCTTGTATTAAAAGGGGTATAGACATCTAGAATATGCAGTTCAGTTTTGGGCACCAGTTCACACAAAGGATGTTGTGGAACTGGAGAAAGTGCAGCGAAGGGCAACTAAACTCATAAGAGGCATGGAGGAGTTCAGCTATGAGGAAATAAATAACTGACCTGAATTTGTTCTCTATGGAGAAGAGGCGATTAAGGTGGGACATGATCACCATGTATAAATACATAAATGGTCCATATAGTGAGCTTGGTGCCAAATTATTCACTTTAGGTCACTCCAAAGGACAAGGGGCACTCTTTGTGTCTAGAGGAAAATAGGCTTAACCTTAGCATATGGAAAGGATTCTTCACAATGAGAGCTGTAAAAAATGTGGAACAGACTCCCCCAGGAGCTAGCTCAGTTAATTGTTTAAAAAAAAATCTGGATGCATTCCTAAATGCACAGAATATTACTGGATATTGAGTTCTTATTGGTATATTAGGCATCAGAGATTGTTGATCCAGGGAATATCCGATTTCCTTATGGGATCAGGGAGGATTTTTTCCCCCCTGTTGGAGCAAATTGAACCATGCTTTATAGGGTTTTGTTTTGCCTTTCTCTGGATCAACAGTGGGTAATTGTAGGCATAGCATTCTGTTTAGGCTTTTCTTTTTTTTCTCCATATCTCTATAGGTTGAACTCAATGGACTTGTGCAGGGCCGTAGCAAGGGAGAAGCGATTGAGGCTCTCGCCTTGGGCGCAGGTGTTGGGGGGTGCAACCAGGAAGGAGAAGTTGGGCTTCTCCTCTGGATCCCCGCTGCTCTCCCCATCTGTATGCAGCGTGGATCCGAGGAAAAGTGAAGAGCTGCAGCCGGCAGGGTGGGGAGGAGGGAGCCGCTGTCACAGCAGCATGGCCGAGCTGAGGAGAGAGAGAGCCACTCTGCCAGGATCTGACAGCCGGCCTCTTCCTGTTCATCCATGAGTTTCTGAATGGGGAGTAGCACTCTGTACAGCGGCTTCTCCCCATTCAGAAACTGCTTGATAGTAAATATTTCTGAATGAATGAAAAGCCTCTGTACTTTCCATTCATTTAGAACAGAAAAAGAGATTGTGTCCTAGATTTCTTTTTCTATTTTAAAAGTGAAATATCAGGGGGCTATTTAGACCCCAAATATTTCCCCAAAGCCACCCAACAGTAAAAAATAAATAAAAATAAATAGAAAATAAAATACACAATAACAAAAAAAAAAAAAAAACACATCCTGGAGGCGGGGGGGAAAAAAATC